TGAAATACTACGTTTATGCTTCAGACTCATTTCTCTGTTTCAGATTGCTCTTACTCCAGGAAGTGCTTCGGTCGCCTATACTTTGCCCTTTTGTCGGGTTGGTATGAGGTGATCTCGGAAATGAGATCATTCTCAGAGTCAGCTGCTTTTTCAAAGACATTTTTAACTATAATTTTGATATGAATTTTCAGCAGTGGCATTGATCATTCGCGATGTAGAGTTTCTATACGAGTGTATCGAGGGGCGCAGAGGGCGGCCCTGAGACACCCGTTTTGAACTACTTGCAGTTTGTTTAAAAGATAATTTGCTGAAATTGCCCAACTTGGGCATTCGTAGTCCATTTGCGGCCTAATTATTGATTTATAAACCGTGAGGCAGTTTGCCGTTGACAGTTCGCTCCGATTGTGAAACAAGCTTCGCGGTCTGCCTCGGGTACTGACTCACCGTCACCGGCAGCGGTGAATTTATACCTGGCCGGCGCTCGTCTCGACACAACCAGCACTTTCTCCACCTTTCCCCGCGACTCGCGAATAGTCCGGAACCGTCCAGTTCGGGGGGAAGGGGGCGCCGGTAGATGACGCAATCTGCCCGCAACGAATTCCGGCAGGTGATGCAATATTCGTTACAGTACGTGACGCAATTTGGAATATTTTGAATACCCCCTCTCCCCCTGTAAAGCACTCGAAAAGTGCGATTGAAGTCCCCTTAATAATTAACGCTTGCGACAACATCCCTCTCTTGTAAATGCAAGAAGTGAAAATAAATGATAGCTCAGCAAATAATAGTATTCAATTTATTTATGTTGTGTACAAAATTTACGATAATGAAAGTCGGAATCAGTTGTCGATGGTGACTGCACCTAACAATAAGATTGGGTGCAAATTTTGAGTGAAGGCCACACAGGAGAGAAAACGTCTGATCAAAAGCCATACACACTCCGCCTTTGCGGAGTCCAATGTGCCAATTTAATGGTATTCTACAAAATACTGTAGATTAGTTTCGAGAATTTTTTCGAAATGTTACAGATTCAATACAAAATTTATATGTATCAGGCCCCCTCCTGCTTCAATATAGACCGCACACCGATGTCTCATTGACCTGCGAGCACGACCCCAAACTCCAGGGATATGGCGTATGTCCTCGCAAGATACCACAATTCGATTCCCAAATCAGGCACCGGAGGTGAATACACCAATAATTTTAAATGGCCCCACAAGTAGAAATCGAGAGGGTTCAGATCAGATGAGCGTGGATGCCAAGCAATTGGGCCAATCTACCTATTCATCGATCAGGAAACTTTCGATCCAAGTGCCGTCCAAGGAAGTCTGCTGGTTAAAGGGCCTGTAAACGAAGCAAATGATAAGGATACAATTGATACTTTTGCAATACTCTCCAGACAGTCGTTTGAGAAACATTCACTTGCAACGCTAAGCTTCGTGTGCTGATACGCAGGAACCGAATGCATTGTGTTTAACTATCATCTTAAGATGTGTGATACATCACAATATACGGAGTAATATACGAAGTGAAACATGTAAACAAATTACAACGTGCCGTCCAAAACACTAACATTGTAGTCTTGACTCTGCTCTTCTGGTACAACAGACCAACACTACGCAGCGAGATTCAGCACGCAAACCAACAATTAAAACTGCAACTGAGAGAAACGAATGTCACAATTTTTTAAACCAATTTCCTTTGAGCAAAACACTTCACCCGGAAAGGTCTCCTCATGAACCTTGCTGGAAAACATACAGTCGGCAACAAGCTTGCGCAACACAACATCAATTCCAGTCCTACGCAGTCTCCTGCCAAAAATCCGCGCCTTTCACCTTCCTTACATTCTCCACCACCACCCTTATTTGGAACCCACTTACTTCCTCCTTTGATCCTTATCCCGTTTCTCCCACTCCCACTACCAATTCGCCTACACCTGATGCCTCAGTTTGCTCACAACCTGTAACTGCCGGAACACACTACAACCTTCGACCACTCACTCGAGGTAAAAATGGAGTAATTATATAGAACTACAGTCAGATACAGTAGAAAAACATCAGTGTAGGTACTTGCAAAAAATAAATATACTGCACCATAATGTTCAATCTCTTTCAAATATAACTGAGTTTATCGAAGGAACTACAGCGCGATTTAAATCTAATGGTTGTTCTTTCCTTTACAGAACATTGGTTATTTCATAATGAACTTAGCATTCCAAACTTTTACCTTGCAGGCTATTATCGTAGAGGAAAGGAAGCACATAAACGTGCTGCATAGGGAAGTTCTTACATTAACGTTCGAAATAATACCGATTCTATTTCCTTGACGGAATTACATGTGTATTCCGTTGAAAATGTTTTTGACATAGCTGTGGTATATCTTCTTACGCTAAAAATGATAATACTTTGCATCTACACGCCTCCAACAAAGAGAGCAATAGATTATATTATGTTCATAAAAACTAGAGATAACCTAAACAAAGTCACCAATCGCTCTTTTGAATCCATTGTTATATGTGGAGATTTTAATATTGATTTTCTGGTCGAATCTTGCGAGAAAGCAGTTTCTCAATTTAGTTCATTCCTTCAGTTTAGATATTACAATAAATGTACCTACACGGATCACACTAAATTCAAAGAAGGCAATCGATCAAATAATAATTAACAAAACTATTACTTGATATTAAATTGAAACAAAAGATTTAGGACACAGCGATCACGATGCACAAAATCTTACCATTATAAGAAATTCGAACACTGACACAATAAATAATACACGTATGAGTATATTATTTACTAAAAGTAAAATAAAATTATTTATCAATTACTTGCTGCAAGAGTCATGGGACGCGGTTTACAATGCAGTTGATACAAACGATAAATACAATTCTTTTTTCAACTCTTTCATTTAATTTTAACACTTGCTTTCCTCTTCAAAAGAGAAAGTTAAATATTGCACGGAAAAGCAATACTTGGATATTACAAGGGATTAAGCCATCATGTAAAAACAAACGAATTCGTTCTTTCATTTCTAAGCATAATAACGTATCTCAAGATTTCCTCCTCTACTTTAAAAAATACAAATCATAGTTAAGAAGAGTCATACGGCAGACTAAAATCATGAAACACGACCAGGATATATTGAACTCAAATAATAAAGCAAAAGCAATAAGGAATATATTACAAAATTCGACCAAATCAACAAAAACTCTTGTAGAGAATGTTGTTTTAAAAGATAACGATAAAAATAAGAA